CAAGTTCCTCAGGTACTAAAGATCGAGGACTGAAGAAGGGCAATAAAGTCGAGTTTTCGTAAATACTCCCAGGTTTCGTTTTATCATGAAGCTGTATGCCCATTAGCTGGAGCGCAACACTTAAACGTCGCTCCTCCAATGAAAATACAGTTTTTTTTATAAACAAAACTTGGAAGCATAACAAAAACTGGTCTTTGAGATGTGTACATGCAAGCACCTGCAGTATTTGTGCTCCACCGTCCGTCTTCATGGCACCAGAAGAAGACTTTCTCATTATACACGATTTTCAATTTGCTGACATCTGCATCACCACCCGCTTACCTCTATATGTTTTCCTTGTCTCTGGCTTGGTGGGAGTCTGTGCTTCACATTCTGGCAATTCTGACCAAGATGTATAAATAAGACGAGCTTCATGACTCACGTTTTGCTCTAAATAATATAAAGTTATGTTACTAAATGTTTTCTTATTAACCCTTATCTTCAGTAGCAAAATTAGTTATATAACAATTTCAAATTAAGAGCTTTAATAGATGGATTATATATATATATATATATATATATATATATATATATATATATATATATATTATATATATATATATATATATATGCAAAGCAACCACTGTGAAAGAATAGAGAAATTCCAAACGCTTTCGTGGCTACTCACATTATCAAGGAACAATGAAAGTAATGCATCAAAGGAAGGCATATAAAGGGTCTAGCCCGCACCTCACTATCACATCCCACAACAAGGCAACACCTGACGCGCGACTCATAAGAAAGGGAACACTGCAGCAGGCCTGCTGGCCCAACTAGAAAGGTCCTTCACACAACCCACCAACAAACTATTCTACCCAAGAATTAAGAATTTTAAAATTTATTATTTGTCCAATGTATTATTAAATTCTTCCAAATTCTATTAATTATAAATGGATCTAATTTATATAAACCAAAGGAAATATTCATATTATTGTCAAAACTGCTTTTTATGAAACAAGATTCAATTATATTCCTGTCGACCATGGACTTGCTTGATACAACTTTCTCAACTTTTTGAAAATCAATTGGATGGTTAAAATCTCTCACATGAATAAATAGAGCATTGGAATCTTGTCCAGTTCTAATGCTATATTTATGTTGTTTTAATCTCAGTTCGAGATTTTTACCAGTTTGACCGTAAACTTTATCGCAAATTTTACAAGGAATCTTATAGACACATCCGTCAGCATTTTGGGGGAATTCTTTATTAAAAGTTTTTTTTACTGTATCAAGATTTTTAAATACAACTTTGATATTAAAAGTCTTAAGAAGAGAAGGCATATCAACCAAGTTTTCATGGTAAGGGAGAACCAACATATTTTTAGTTGAATAAGGCTGGTTGTCCCTTTTTGGATTGTAAAAAGTATTTCTAGCAACTTTAAAAGATTTATCAATTACGTTTCTTGGGTATTTCAAATCATTACCTATTTCATAAATTTTGGATATTTCCTCATCTATGAACTCTGGACTACAAATACGTAAAGCTCTCAAAAACATTGATGAGAAAACAGACAGTTTAACTCTATCTTGATGCGAAGAATAATAGTGGACATAGGAACAGTTATTTGTAGGTTTTCTGTAAATTTTAAATTTGAATTCAATATTACCCTTAATAATTAAAACATCTAGAAAAGGCAATGAGTTATTTTCTTCAAAGTCAACAGTAAAGTTTATAGAATGGGCTAAGCTATTTAATTTGCCAAGGAAATTGTGTATATCTACATTCTTGGGCATAAGACACAAAATATCATCAACATATCTGAACCATTTAACTCTATTAGGGAGGATTGTGTTAAGCAGCCTTGTTTCAAAAAATTCCATGTATAGGTTACTAAGAACAGGTGAAAGAGGATTTCCCATTGCCATACCAAACTTTTGAGTGTAAAACTTATCATTAAATACAAATTTTGCATCAACAATGCAAAGTTTAATAAGTTTAATGATAGTAGGAACTGGCAATGGTAAATCATAATTAACGAGTTCTTCAGATAAGAAACTTAATAAATCATCAACAGGAACTTTCGTAAACAAGGAAGTAACGTCAAAACTAACCATGTTAAAATCATTTAAGTCAGTCAAGGAGCTTAATTTATCAACTAAATCTATGTTGTTTTTAACATTAAAGTTAGAAATTTTGCCAACAATAGCGCTCAAAATGTCAACAAGCCATTTGGATAATTTATATGAAACTGACCCTATGGAGCTAATAATTGGTCTGACTGGATTCCCTGGTTTGTGTGTTTTTATTAGTCCATACATGTAAGGTAAAGATGGATTAGTGGAAGTAAATTGTTTGACTAATTCATCTTTGCCTTTCAGTAGAAGTTTTGTTTTATTGAAATTGCTGTTAACGGTTTCTAGGGGATTTTTTCAGTCTAGTTGGGTCAGCGGGCCTGCTGCAGTGTTCCCTTTCTTATGAGTAGCGCGTCAGGTGTTGCCTTGTTGTGGGATGTGATAGTGAGGTGTGGGCTAGACCCTTTATATGCCTTCCTTTGATGCATTACTTTCATTGTTCCTTGATAATGTGAGTAGTCACGAAAGCGCTTGGAATTTCTCTATTCTTTCACAGTGGTTGTTTTGCATATTCTGAAATCACCTGTTTACTGTGATCTTATTGCATATGTGTGATGCTATACGTAGTTAAGAGCACTGAGAGGCCCACAGGCTACAGCTACACCATCAACGCAGTACAAGAAGCTTTTTCACCAGCACTTGTTTGAGATTCATTCGTGTACAGACTAATCACTGGCTTTCATATTAAGAACGCTCAATGACGCTCAACACCATTCAATGGTTTTAAAGGCCAATCACTAGCTGTAAAGACCAGTCTCTAGCTATGAAGACCAGTCTTTACCTATAAAGACCAGCTATTACCTATAAAGAAAAAAAGGGTCTCAAAGACCAATCTCTGATTCACGAAATTATTATAACACGATTACAAACAAATCACGGAACGGGTGAGGTTTGAACACACGGCAAATGAGTTTTAGTACTTACTTGCCATGGGTTGGAATCCCCACCCGTTCAGTGATCAGTCACTGACTCTCAAACTAAGACCAGTCACTCTGCACTAGCACCTTCACAGCAGCTAAATCGCAAATTAGTGTCACGCTTCGTGATATGCAAAATTTTAAAATTTTAAAAATTACATATAATTCAAAGTGTTGAGATATGTGAACATTCTTCACAAGAGCGTAAGTTTGTGTCAGTCCCTACAAGCTGAGGAGTCTCAGGGACTATCAACTACACTTTCTTCACCAATAGTTGCAAAATACAATTTGAAGAGGCAGCCAAAACATTTTAAGCAAATTATTGGATAGAAACATTAAAATTTAATTAAAATTTCGTATTTTTTTTAAAGCAACATATTGTATTATTATGGCATGATGTAAGTAGGTTCAGCTGATCACAATGTTTTGTTAACGTTTGTATATCGCATCAATATCAAATTTAATACACCATAATACGACTGTATATAATTTTTAACTGTAGTGTCCTCAGAAACAATACAATTAAGTGATCTGATTAACTAATGTGCATGAATAACACTGACCAACAGAGGTTTCAGTTCATGTTTAAAAGGATGTGTTTCTGAGTTTTGGGAAGCTGAATCGAATCTGAACTTATTTTTCTCCAACACGTACAGTTTCTGTGAAATAGACCCCCACAGTGAACGATTTTACTAAGACATAAACATTGTGGAGAAGAGATGTCAGGGAAACCTGACAATCAGCTTGACGGTGGACTTCTGCTGGACACTGATGCGAAGAGCCATACACACACACAAAAAAAAAAACTGAAAAAAGCGATGAAATTGTTTTATGACTGTATGGAAATTTCTATTATTATTATGCATATGTATAATGAATTTACGTTAAGAAAAAATAGTTTTGTCAATACATGAACCACACTTAATATTCATGCATAATATAATGCATATGATCGTTAGGTAACATGTGTGTTCTTCAACCTTAAATAGTTAAAATATTAATCATAAAAATACCAATAAACCTTACGTGCTAGAGACTAAACAAGATCAGATTCGTGATCAGCGCATCACACGTAGATTAAAACAAAAGTTTCTGAGCTGGATAAAAAAGTTAAATTTTGTTGGCTAGTGTAATTAATCTCTGTAAAAACTGCACCTTGATTACATACCATGAAACATCAGAAAGAAAATGGATCTCAAATCTTCACACATTATTAACTCTGACTGAACTTTTGAGGCTGAGAGAGAATATACACTCACGGCAGGCACAACCAACCTGTATGTTATTGCAAGTAAGAACTTTACTGTAACAAAGATATTGTATGTGTGATGCTATCCGTTAATGGCGCCGAGGATCACTGCTCTCGCGATCCAGTCTCAAACCAAGCTTCCTAAATTGAAAAGGACATATTACAGGAATAATTATTAAGAAACATACTGTAAAGTAAAGGTAGGTGTACAGTGAATGAAAGCAGAAGTTTATAAGATTAACCTGCCATATTACAAATTCATGCGTCTACTAGGTAAACTAGCAATTGCCAGTATAAAACATTTAATGGGCTTCCATTTACACTCATATGACCGTACCATCGTAGTACCTTCCGAGATAAATGCTGTCTACCAACTTACTATTAGACTGAGGCCAAAAAGAGATAAAAAACAAAACAAAAGGTTATTTTCAAAGTGACAAAAGCAGAAAATATAGTGTAAAAACATTAGCATTTGTTACCAGCGGACTGACACAAGGCTTGATAGCCCGTTACCACAACTAATGAAGAAAAGACGAGTCGAAAACAAACTTTTACTGTGGCATTTCTCGAGACGTTGTCACAATAAAAGCTTGTTTTGCATCTGTCACTTTTCTTCATTACTTTCGGTATTTCGCCATTCTATATCACAAATATTTTGTGCCTTAAACTTTGACGTTGTTGGGATAAGAAAATATATTGAATTACGAATGACTTCATCCCTAAAACCAGATTTTAATATTTCGCAGAGTATTAATAAAATGTAATGAATCAATAACAAACAGTATTTTAGAAGAACGATTTTTAAAGATAAACTACAGGAATGATGAAAATAAAATAAGCGATAATATAATGGTCCATCGCAGATCATGGCCCACCATATACCATGGTCTACCCACGATGGACCACCAACCAGTCATGACCACAGACTATAAGTAAAATAAATATTAAACAACTGATGCTTATTCGCTTCTCAGAATTAATACTGGATTCAGCATTAAGTCTACATCATTTCCGGTTCCTTTATAAAGTTACTTTCTTCAATACCCTAAACTGAAGGATGAAAATAGCAGTTTATAATTGACAAGACCTTAATACTTGTAAATATTATATCCAGAGAAGCAGGCAACAGTGCGATTATTCATTGTTACCACAGATTTCTCTTGAATAGTTTTTTTCACTTTCTTCGACACACTGGATTTTATCCTTTGCATTTTGTTAGTCCAATTTGAACCTTTCGAATGCAGTTGGTATCGTTGAGGGCTCAAGAAATGGCGCTAATATCTTTCTTCCGGCAGACACGTGTGATTTCGGCACCAGCCCGACTATTTCGCTGTGTAAGTGGACCAACCTGAAGGTGACACAGCTTCAGTGGCAGGCATCCAGTGGCCAGAATGCTTTCTGGTTAGGTGGCCCACAGGAGGATGTTTCTTATGGTGACACCCTGGGTGAGTATGGTCAAAGAACCCTTACAAAGAAAAAGGTAAAATGTATGTATACAATAAAAAAAAAAAACACTAAACACCTTGTCGCAAATTTTGGAATTGTCTAGGTATTATTTCTACTGCCCTCGTTTGCAATCCTCTACAAATGACATACCTAACCCTAGCTACAAAAATTCATTTATAATCTCTTACGCTGATGACGTCACACAACTAACCACAGCACTCTTAAAAAAATAAAGCCAGCGGAAGAACTCTGTCAGATAACCAAAAGCTCCAGTGGTGGGTCGTCATATGACAAGACCCGTGGCAGGAAACAATTGTCCTGTTTCCTGACATAATCAACGGAAAATAGGAAACTGACTAAATCACACAATGGTGTATTCCATCATTCAACAATAAAACAATATATTCATTATCTGTACAATGTTTCTCGCCTATCTGGCTGCAAGGAATTATGTCTTACATTACACAGGCTTAGCATGCAAAGTTAAGCAAGTGTGAAAATTTTCTTGGCATGCGGCATTCGTAGAGACTGTATATAATTTTATACAATAACAATAAAATACATATGAGTTATATATACATATGTTGTGCCGAATAGGTAAAAATGTAAGTGACAGGGAAATAGACTAGAGCAGTGTAATTTGATCTTTTTTTTTTTAATGTCGACCATTCCTTGTAAAGAAACTGAAAATAAGTTGTCTACCCGAAATGGCAACCATTTTTTTTTTTCTAAATTTATTTAAAAATTTAAATTCCGCTAAAGGAGAGCGAGGAAAAAAATGGGTTGCACTTTTATTTATTTTCCATTCTGTATTGCAGTAGAATTTAATATATAACTTACAGTTGAGAAAAAAATGTGTAAATTAACATAAATTGTATAAATTAACACAAGAAATTAAAGAATAGGTATAAGTATGTATGCTTCTTTGCAATTCAGTGGCTTGACTGATAATAAACTTTGACTGCTATCAGCTGAAATTATGACATCACACTCTCAATTCTTCAAAACTTAAAAGCAAAAACATTTACTCAATGCTTTGCTGGACTTGCCTTGATCATCCACTGGTATTTCTCAATACTATATGTCGTAGTCTGGCATGAAACTATAACATTAGCCATGATAAATATCTTAAAATTTACCCGAGTCATGCATGCGCCTTACACCTCTGGAACCTGTCCTGATCAATTGATTATACAAGTTAAAATTGGTTGCATCAGCGACTTAGAGAAAGTTTGCCATAAACTCTCAAATATTGTCCACCCCTCCGTTCACCATGAGACTGTCGTCCACCTTATGTAAAAGGTTCTTCACCCCCGGGTAGACCGTTCACCTAGGTTGAATAGCACTCGACTAGAAGAATATCAATTCCGGGGTTATCTTCTTCAACAAGAATCAAAGCACTCCAAATCATCACAATCTATTTAGCACTTTACATGACCAATCATCACACCTAATCTGCGTTTACTCCCATGTTTATTAACAGCCACAGTAACTGTTAACCAATCACCCATTATACTTAACAACAACTAACATTTTTACAATAAGAAAGATCACTAAACATGGTACCTTTACTTAATTCTTACACAACCAAACTAAACCAAATCCAGTAAACAAAGAAACCTCTGGCACTACCTTATACCTCAGGGTAACAGCCTGTGTGCCCAAGATCAAGGGGTCTGTCTTTGAGACCACCTGTGTGGGAGAAACTGTCAAGGGTAAAGGAGGGGAACTAGGTTGGGTCAGTGGTTAAGCAGGTAGGTGACTTGGACCTGCCTCGTATGGACCAGTAGGCCTGCTGCAGTGTTCCTTCTATCTTGTGTTCTGATGACTCTATTATTATTCACCATAAATGCATATCAACTCAAAATTTATCCCAGGTGTTTTAATACGAAGACATTTTTAACTGTAAACACACAGAAAACTAAGAATGTCAAATAATGTTTATTAGGTTTATGGCATATCGACTGCACGTTTATGGCATATCGTGCACTTGTACATATCAAGAATTATTTAATTCGTAAAATATAAAATACACTCTATACAGACACAATCTTTCCAGTAATACATTGTGTAAACATTATGTTGCGTAGCTGCTTTATATGCACCGGTATTAACATGAGTGATTTACCGTGAGGTGGTGTGACACATGCTTCTTCCCTAGGAGGATACTCGGTGTTCGAGACTTCCCAGATACCTGAGCGCAAGATCGGCCAGCCCGCCTTCGAGTCTGCCATGCTCATGTCCCCCACCAGAAACTCCACGGGACCCAAAGGAATGTGCATCAAATTCTGGTAAGTCTGACGAATGATTTATCTTTTGTTCTTTCCACCTCAAGTATCTCTTAAGCTACTTCATACAACCAGCTTCCTAGCAATTTCTCCCACCTGCAGTGCTCCTCATCCATCTCTCTCACCTGCAGTGCTCCTCATCCATCTCTCTCACCTGCAGTGCTCCTCATCCATCTCCCACCTTCAGTGTTTTGTACACCTCTTCATTTTTCCATTTGTGTCCAATTATTGTTTGTTCCCTCTTCCCCTGCATAATTCCCTCCCTCCCACCCTTCCTTCCTTTCCCTCTCATCACCTGTGTGTGCGAGTACATGGAAATGAGCGGGATAGTGAGATCAGCAGTCCAGGAAGTACCTGCCCCAACACCGATGTATTGTTTTAGCACGTAATATATGGCTAGAATTATAATGGGACATGAAGACAATGAAGCGCATAAAATAAAAAGAGGGGCAACTACACACAAACACACAAAACAAAAAAATGACCGTCATTTACCCATGATCCCATGAAGCTTCCTCGTTGTGTAATACCAACAATATAAACCACAAACACGCAGGTCAATCGACCGGACATTAGAATAAATTGCTGGTATTACAAGAATCGTCTTGAAATATAACAAAATTTTAGTCCAATGGCCGCTGCGATTGATCGGGATAGGCTAACGTTGTTAAAGAATAGGAAAAGATGAAGATTCAGTGGTCAGTGACACGAGGCGAGATATCGTGGAGGATACCGTTGCAATAAGACAGGGACACACACACGAGGATATCCATATATATAGAAATGGGTAGACAATTAGCTATACAATGAAACTACAAATATATGAAGTGGCTCATTTCTACAATATATAAGCAGTGGGGTCTGATAAAGGTTCGCTGTGACCTTCGAAAGTCATATGTTGAACTAACCGCTCAGGCGACACAGAGAGAGGCTAGTGATTAGTTTTAAAGCTGAAAGGTGGCGAAAACGTTTAAGTGGGACCAGTAGTAGCTTTACAAGCAAGTATTAATATGTTTGGTTGGGGATATTAGTTGTTTGGGATAATGTAAGCTGAAAGAATGAAGGTGATCAAAAAACAACCATTTTTTTTTACACTGAGCTGTATCTGAATTCTAGGTTCATCCCAGCAAAGAATAATAAGATTCAATCCTCAGCATCAGTGCCATTCCTACCACCATTCACCAAGACTTCCAGCCTCACTGTATCCCAGCCTTCCAGCAAACTATCCTTCCAAATGCCCAGTCAACTCTCCGCCCAATCAGTTATCCAACAGACCCTAAAGCAAAGCCTTCGAGCCAACTATTCCCAACCATTCCAGGTTTACAATCAATTATCCACCATGCTTTCATGTCACAGTTTCGCACATCTGTTTTCTAGGGCTTATTATGTCATACTCTCTTGAATATAAACTTCAGTATTTCTTCTTCATTGCTGTTGTTGCTTTTGTCTTGGTGTGCGAGCGCTTGTGGATTCTTGAAATCATTATCATTATTATTTTTATCATAAAGTTATTATTATTGTTCTTAACTTCTCAGCTTTCCAGCCAACTATCCACCTAGTTTCCCAGCCTTCCAGCCAACTATCCACCTAGCTTTCCAGTCTTCCTGCTAAGTATCCACCTAGCTTCCCAGCCTTTCACCTAACTATCTACCTAGTTTCCCAACCTTCCAGTCAACTATCCACCTAGTTTCCCAGCCTTCCAGCCAACTATCCACCTAGCTTCCCAGCCTTCCTGCTAAGTATCCACCTAGCTTCCCAGCCTTCCACCTAACTATCCATCTAGTTTCCCAACCTTCCAGTCAACTATCCACCTAGTTTCCCAGCCTTTCAACCAACTATCCACCTAGTTTCCCAGCCTTCCAGCCAACTATCCACCTAGCTCCCCAGCCTTCCAGCCAACTATCCACCTAGCTCCCCAGCCTTCCAGCCAACTATCCACCTAGCTTCCCAGCCTTCCAGCCAACTATCCACCTAGCTTCCCAGCCTTCCAGCCAACTATCCACCTAGCTCCCCAGCCTTCCAGCCAACTATCCACCTAGCTTCCAGCCTTCCAGCCAACTATCCACCTAGCTCCCCAGCCTTCCAGCCAACTATCCACCTAGCTTCCAGCTATCCACCTAGCTTCCCAGCCTTCCAGCTAACTATCCACCTAGCTTCCCAGTCTTCCAGCCAACTAAATATTAGCCAGATCGTCCGCCCGCAATATCTAACAGTTTTCTATTTTACTTTCTAAATTGGACGAAGGTCCTGATGAGAATATCTGGGTGCATTACAACCGTAATAACTTCTTCTTTTTACCATCTCCAGGACAGTATTTGGAGGCGGAAATAGATCCATGATTCGGCCCCTTGTAAATAGAGAACTATATACCATCCGGGAGAAAGTAAAATAAAAGGCTGAATTTGAAGTACAAACACATCGAGAGTCCTCCTTAGGTTATTGATTTATTTTACTGGTAATTAAACTGTTAGTTACTGTAGAAAATGCTGCCAGTTTTAAGGTAGATTTTACAAATGTACTATCCAAACCTTAACTCTTAACTCAAGAATAATAGGATAATCATAGAGAAATCAACACGTTTAAACCACGTCAGAGTAAGGTAAGAAACATTTATATCAAATCTTACCCCGCATTACGTCAGCAAAAACAAGGAAGAATGAATAACTGAGGAATAGACTGGAGCTACAAGAAATGAGAGAGGCCGGGACACGGGGCCACGAACAGGCACACAACCACAACTAGATGAATATACGGCTGAAGACGTGGAGAGGTAAAGTGCTGGAGGAGATGACCTGCACTCAACACTAATTCCAAGTGACCCTGAGGACTCAATACAAACTCTTAAGTATTAGAATCCTTAGAAACCGGTATGATGTTCGCATGTGTTCAATATAAAAAAAAAACGATTTCGTAAGAAACAGTGCTATACAAGTCCGAAAGTATGTGCTCTGTGGTGAATTCTACCTTTCGGGAGTCACCATCAGGAATAACAGAACAATAAGAGGAGTTATATTGTACAATATAAACGATTTAGCATTAGCCGAGTTAAGACTGGACAACATGGCAAGTTCGGTACCTGTATAATGTTATATAGCAGAACAATATGTAAACTCATTATCAGCAAACGTTGCAAATAATTATTCAGAACTACACATTCCTTGTGTGCCCAATGTTAACTATTGTAATCAAGCACGAACACTACACTTACAGAAAGTCATCGCATCACTAAAAAATAAATAAAAAAATAACGCAGTGACGATAATCATTTCAGAATTAAGTAACCTTAAATATTAAAATAGTTTGGGAGAAAGCAAACAATTAAATTTCAAAAAGATATATTACAGGAAGAACTCTTCATTATATTCACGATACTGAACAATTTGCTAACCTCCAATCATTTTTCAAGATATCACACGTGGCAACTGAGAGAGGTAGTGACTATAATGTTTTCGTTGCCGAAGCTGTGACTAGATTTTGATTTTGCCACCGAATTGGGTAGTTTATTGTGCAACCCATATCCATCCTGTGAACGGTAGCGCAAGAACATATGGAGCTGTGACTAAACACAAAGAACAATTAACTTGTGGAACCACATAACCATCAAGGTAGTCGAAACAAAACTAAAAACATATCGTATTCATCTTTTAAACTCAGGTGGCAAAACTCAGAGAAAATTAAGAAATCTTTTACAATCTGCAGTCTTTTAGAGTCTATAATCTTTTCCTCGCCAGGTAAATATATTGAACAGATGTTCTCCATTTTCTACTGTTTCATGAATTTCACCTCTTCACAGTATTTTTTATCATTTACATTTGACAATTACTGCTTGGGTAGGTACTCGATGGCTGGGCTTAGCCCAGACCGCCTGCGGGTATTATTGCACCCGATGATGGGCAACGTGAGCAGCGGGGGCTCTGTGGACGACATGATGAGGAACTACGACGGTAGTGGTGACGAGGTGCTGTGGGAGGAGCGAGACATGACTGCCGGAGACTGGAAGGAAGGACAGATCGCCTACGCCTACGGCAACACTCACTCGGTGAGACATTCCAATTGTGAATTATGTTTCATTGGTGTGGAAAAAGAATGAAGGTTAATTTAGAAGATTTGACATAACTAGTGTGTGATACTTTGGTATAATGTAGCAAATAATGTATTAGTTCTTTTAAGTACTTGTGAAGTATGAGAGTATTTTGCATCTAAGAATGTATACTGTACTAAGAGCATAAGAATGAAGAAAAACTGCAATAGACCTTTTGACCCATTCTCGACAGGCCTAACTCACACCCAAACACATCCACTCGTATACCCGGCCAGTGTGCATTTAAACCTACCTAAGATTCTCGCTACCAATCACGCTAACAAGGAAAGCGTTTGTTCCACTTCTCTAATTACACTGCCAAACCAGTACTTTCCAATATCTTTTCTAAATCTGAAATGATCTAACTTGAATTCATTGCTACGAGTCCTGTCTTAGTTAAAACACTTTCAACATGTCAATTATATCCTTTTTATTTATTTACGTTTTCCATTTGTACACTTTAGTGACGTCCCTCCTAATTCTGTGTGTTTCCGGAGAATGCATGTTATTTTATCAGTGTTAATCGACAAAAGTGGAGGATAATCCAATTCCTTGGACCAAGAGTCCCTTCACCAACATCAAGGCACCTCAGTGAGTATTCCACGGAACGCAATTTCAGTGCCCTAAGCCTATCTTCATAGGAAAGGTTTCTGAAACATGGGAGCAACTTCGTCATTCTTCCCTGTATTTTCCAGAACATTCATGACCATTCTATAATATGGGGACCAGAACTGTGAAGCATAACCTAAATGAGGCCTTACCAAAAATATATAAAATTCAAGTATAACCCAAGAACTTCTATAATTTAAACTTCTTGATATGAAGCCACAAATTCTATTAGGTTTACTGCGAATACTTATACACTTGTCAGATATCTGTTAATCAAAACTCATAAATTTTGTCAACATTCTGTTAAGGATCCATATTATTTAGTTTACAATTAGTTTCTTTTCCTACGATTTAGAACCTTACATTTGTCCACCATGAATTACATCTGCCACTTCTCTGACTTCATCAACTTGTTCAGAAATTGTCTGAGGGCCTATTTTAATGTCATCGGTAAATTACTTGTCCCTGTTCCATTATTTTTTTTTATATTTTATTGAAAATACACTTCATTACAACAATGAACCCTGTAACCAAGGGTGAAAAACAATTAAATCATAAAACATACAATGTTGCACCATACCGGCATACACAGTTTACCTATAACCCATTACATGTGACAGACAAAAGCTAACAGATACACACTAGGGATACATATAACTGAACATACGCTCCATTATTTATGACGTTCATAACGAATGCGGTATACAACAATACATTAGCAATCATTTTTGAGGAAATTATAAAGGTATATTATACTAATGATAAAGTGCTGTGTGCGAGTACATCAGCAGGAATGTTGATATGTGTAAGTGATGGTCTGCTGGTGAAATGGAGTGGATTCAATCCCACACAATTTTTTCGACAATTTATAGTCATGATAGCTTGAAATTTCAGTTTGCATAGATGAAAGCGAAGGTTATGTATGAACTAGCGTTACAGTGACTGTAAATATCTTTCCACAGCCACGATGGAACCTACCTAAAGCTTGCACATTCGCATGCACTGCTGCCCTAGACAAATGGATAGCTCCAATCCCTCTCTTCACTACTCTTCCTCACTTCGACTTGCTTCTTTCCCTCCTTTACACTGCAGATGTCCTCTTGAAGTTTCAATAGTCTCTAGGCCTATACAGTGAAATACTTGATATCATTATCAATCGCCTTACCGATGTTTCCCAGCTTTTGTTCCCACTATGTAAACTGTTATAGAATAGGATAGCAACACAATACTCATGTACCCAATTTTGTTTAATATAAAACCTCTCCCATGCGGGTACGGCACAGTTGATCTTCGAGGGCATCCCGGTGGACACCAGCGACCTCAGTCGTAGGTTCCGGGGCTACATCGCCCTCGACGAGCTCAGCTTCGCCGACCCCACCCAGTGTAGTGTCTTCTGTAATTTTGAAGGTGGCACCTGTAGCTGGACACAGGACACAAATGATGACTTCGACTGGACTCTGGTAAATATCGTATCAATGTTTACAATTACATGCTTATAATTACCGATTTGTATTTACAGGAATAATCTTAGCATATTAGATATAAAAATCTTTCGACAACAGGAAGGTCATTAAGACAATGTCTAACTCATAAAATAAGGAATAAAGAAATCTCTGAATTTATATAAACTGAGAGAAACGTCTTTTGGTATATATACCCCTCTACAAGAATTGAGCAGACTACTCCTGAAAATCGTAATAACCAGACTATAAACAACTTACGAAATGGGCCGAGTTCAAGTCCATGGCAAGCCAATCCTAAAACTACTAGCCCAATGGTCTTATCACTTTTCCATGCGGATTTAAATTAATCCAACTAGGTATATTCGTAGACACTAGAGAGAGTAGCATGGGACGCTAATCTTAAGTTTATAGGAATAAATCTCATGCTCAGAAGGCAATGACGAAATCTAGCTCTTCAAAGCCTTTGTTAATGGCCAACGAAAATCGTATTAAACGACTGTTACCACTCAAGCAGCGAGTAGGGTTCGAACCCATGGTCAGCTAGTCCTATAACTAGATGGGCAGTGCTTCTACCAAAAAATGAAGTCTACTTTGTCACACCCTTTTATTAATTTATACGTAATATTTTCCTATCGTGTCTTTCAACGAGGACATTCACAATACCTTACCATTGATTTCAGTACATGTACTAGTCTTCTCTGCTGTATCGTTTTCAAGACTTTCGCAGCCTAACAATATTCAATTTGTCCGCCATTTTATTTGTGTGATTCATGCTTTGAACTAGTCTTTCATTTTGTTTTACCTTCTACCACATCCCCACTACCATTTACCACTTCCTCGTCGATATTTACCATATACCCAACACTTTATCACAGTTTCGCTAATATTTACCATCATTTATTATAGCAACACCATTTACATCACCACCCTTTATCACAGCAACATAATTTACAACATTCGTCAGCATCAGTTATCACAGATGATAAATAACAATGCAATGAAGTTTTTACTGATACGTTTCGCCCACGAATTAGTTTTATCAAATATATGATGACTTGATGGAGCCTACCAGTTGGTGAAACACTGTACCTATAAAAACTTTCCTGCACTGTTTATTATTTGTCAGCCTCCACCACCAGTAACAAAATCCCTTCCTCACTCTTATCCATAGAGCCGCGGGAGTTTGAACCCGTCAACAGGACCACCTCGAGATCGCTCCTCCTTCGCCAAGGACGAAATGATGGGGGGGTACGCCTTCATCGATTCCGGCTACCCGCGAAGGCCTGGGGACAGGGCCAGGCTCATGAGCCCCGAGTTTCAAAATACCAGTAAGTGCACCGTGGTAGTAACTCTTCAGACTTATAACGAGGGATTAGATTTTGCCGTCGAAGGATTTAATTTATCGTGCACCGTACATATTTATAAATTATTATTTTACTTGTTAGAAGCAAATTTACGATACTCAAAATTTCTGGCAACTTATTTTTACTAGGATACTTTTGACATGACATATAGGCTATTGTACTATCTTTATATCCTTCTGAAAGCGGAGGACTTGTAACGACTGTGGTTTTTGAAGTTCTGCGGGAATAAAGATGTTAAATTAAAGAGATACAGGAAGTTATTAGAGGAGGTTATTTGAATGAAGGGCTTAAGAGGGACTTACTGGAATATAGAGCTTAGAAGGGGTTCCTGGAAAGAAGGGCTTCAAGGATGGTTATTGGAATGAAGGGTTCAGAAAGGGTTACTAGAATGAAGGGGCTTAGAAAGATTTTCTGGACTGAAGGGCTTAAAGTTACTGGAATAAAGGGCTTAGAGGGGGGGGGGTTAGTGGAATGAAGGGGTATAGTAGAGAGAGATTATAGGAATGAAGGAGTAAATATATTTGAGGAATGAAAAGGTTACAAGAATGAAAAGGTTAAATTAAAAGAGGAGTTACTGGAACTTGAGAATTACACTTATAAATTTATGGTTACAAGAAAGTAATATTTTACATTAAAGACGAGTTACTAGAATGAAAGGAGTCCAGTAACATGGGGTTAGAAAGCGCAGAATTAGTGGAATGAGGCAATATTAAAAGTGTATAAAATAATTAAGACTAAGCTAGTGAAGAATTAGCGCAGTAATGATTTTCTCCAACGAGTGACAAACCTAATGATGAGGGGAGACAATATCAACAAGCACCGCCTCGAATGAAGTGCATTACATTCGCCGGAAAGCGTAAAACCCGTAAGTGTCATACAGCTCCTGAGGAATGGGAGGCAATCTGGTTTGATTTGAGGAAGGGGAGGTTGGCTCCAGTTCCTTAGATCAATACCCCTTCAACATCATGGCATCCCTTGAAGGGGTCTAGTCAAGAACCATATAAGAAAGAATACTATTCATTTTTTTTATTTCCTTATCTGAACTGCAATGTCTCTTCACTCCTTTTGTTTTAGTTTGTGTAGTGTTAAACCCGTGTGGGATATTCAGCGCAATTAGCAAGCTGGGTCAATCCTCATCTGTTTAATTAACCTAAGACATTCACGTTACCATTTAGTATACATCTGTATCTCTCCTTAGTTTTTTCCTTACCTGGTTATCATCCTCATTTTACTTACGTCTCCACTTTGCTAACATCCTAAGCCTGTATTAGGCTATAAATCCTTATTTTTCAGCAAGCAGTCTCCTTTGAGTGCGTCACAATTTTATTAATAGCCTCTTAATTTCCTGTACTTTTTAACTTTTCACCCTTATCTTTATTACGCACCTGTCAAGTGAGTACTGTACATCCCGTGAGGTACGTATTTCTTAAATGCATATATGCTCAGTTTACTCTAATCCTTATTTCAGGAATAAAAATCTTTGGCTGTATACAACCGACATGCAGCCTCAATGTCCCTCTGTGTAATCGAAAGGGTTTGCCTCATCAACCACCTGTAGTAACCCCGCTACCTCTCAAACAGACCCGGACAGTCCTATCTGCATGCGATTCTGGACCCACATGTTTGGCAACGGCATCGGCACCCTGCGCGTTATCATCTATGACGTGAACACCGGCAAGGACAACGTCATCTGGAAGATATCAGGCGAAGCCGGGAACGCTTGGTACCAGGGCCAGGTGCCTATATCGTCCTCCTCGCCCTTCAAGGTACCACCAGACTCTGTTGAGCTGCCCACATTCAAGGTACAATCGGAAAGCCAAAGCCGGAGCTGCCACTGCATCTACGAACACACCCCGGGATGTAGTTTACGTTTGTGTAGACTTAGGATATGTAATTATGAGATTAATAAAAAAAAATAAGCAGCTGTGTAGGCTAAGATTGTAGAAATTAGATTATAAAAACGATAAGGGTGGTACAGACTAATCTTGTAAACAATATGTTTAAAGGCAACATTGAAATACGCAAGATAAGACATAAAAATATTATGACAGAAAACTGAGATTAATACGACAGAAGATAGGAAGGATACGAAGAAAAATAGAGCGTCTTACTCCATAAGTGTGTTATTACAGCGGTAAAGTAAATATTAATAAGTAACATTAAATGCAAAATACTTAAAATGTACAGAACATATAACAGTAACGCGGATAACATAGGTTTTAAATTAACATTTTATATATAATATATATATATATATATATATATATATATATATATATATATATATATATATATATATATATATTATATATATATGCCCGGTTTACGTAAAACATGGGAAAAAATAATTCATTCAGGACACTACTAGGGAGTTTTTTTTTTTTTTTTAATGGGAAGTAGAGCCTAGATAGGGAGACAGTAGATGCTTAATCAATTAGAGAATACATGACAATTTATCATGTCAGGAGACACTTGTACTGTTTCCTGTGGTAATTTATTAAATTAAAATAGATGGTTTTAGAAAAATATAGTTTTAGATGATACTATATTTGACTTCTTAATTTCTGCGGATTGTTTACAACCGAAGGGAAATCTTCAATACAGAATGTTAAATATTTTGCATGTTAAGAATCCGGAATTTCATAAATATTCTACATGGTTAGTTTTTTCCTTATCACAAATCTAGGCAGAATTTACAGAGGCGAATAACAAGTGATGAATAAGAGGAATAAAGTGTTCGATTTGAAACAGTGTAGCAGTGACTAGGAGAGTTAAGGTCACGTGATACAAAGACGGTGGTGGCATAGATGCACAAATAAAAAAATAAACATAAGAGGGAAACATATTTTAGTAAACAGGAATAGCATAAAAATTATGAAAAAAAAGTAATAGATTTTGATGTCGGGATGCGCATGATGAATCAGATATCTATACAAAAAAAAGGCAACACACACAGCAAGATTTGCTCCACAGGTAACTCTCAGTTACACCTTATAATTCACACTCGGTTTACTAAATTATACTTCAATTCAAATAACTGTACATAATTAAGAGAGGAACATTATGAAGACGTTTCGGTTCGTCCAGGATCACTGTCAAGTAATGACTATTGTCAAGTTACAACTATTGACTTAAGAATGTGATATGACTTGACAGTGGTCAAGCACAAATCGAAACGCCATAAGGCTTCTTTCCTAAGTCTGGGTTGTGTGAATTGTTCCAGCCAGGATATTGTGACTTTTATTCTTGTTAGTTCAGGTTATAGACTTCATAATCCTATGTATGCCAACCATCTTGAGAGGTACTTAATACAGCTAGATTTTCACATCAGTAACCCTACTACCTCTCGTAATGATTAAGGTAGCCACACAATACTGATGTACCAAAATATAAAAGATCACTTTATGGAATATTTTCATGATAGGCAGTGGCTGACACCTGGAATATATCTGAGGGTAATCAATCACATCTGGAGACCTGTAAACCTTTATTACACGTTTGTTAAGTCAAGGATATCTTGTAATGAGCCTTATTTCTGCAGAATGAAGACAAGTCATGCCATACCTTAAGTGTTAAGTCAGAACTTAGCTACGAGTGAAGCAAACTTACGGACACAAAATACACTGGCTTTTAATGTAACTTTAAGCGCCGGAGTATAAATAGTAGTTAAATAAAAAAAAAAAGTCTTTACGAAAGACCATGATTAGCACGAAGATAATAAAATGAAGGGAATAAGATAATGTAAAACTATTTAAAACTTATTCCGCGCGATGACAAAAGTCTGGATATCTTTTTTTATTATTATTAACTGAGAGTTACCCGTGTCATTCAAAAAAATGACGCATGTTCATAGTTACGTCGTTTAACCTATTTATTACATAATTTTTACACTGGAATTGGCTTTCTTTGAGTATATTGTCCCGGGTATTGTGGCTGTTGTAATGTTCGTTGCTTTCACCTGCTAGTCTGAGATGCAGTTGGCGGAGTGTGCATGATAATAGTGCTTGCCTGCCTCGCTGGTTAACTCACCACCTGCCATGCTTAAATCACGTCTTTCGTTGCCATATGTAACTAATCAAAAATAAAAATTTAATAGTTTCGTTACAAAATATGCATTATAACTAAAAACGCTAAAGGCACTTAAATTATACCTTTAAATATACACATAACACACTAGATTAGTTTTTTATAAAATTTATTTTATATACGATTCTGAATGCATCGTTTTAAGTATATAACAAGTTTTGTTTGTAAATGTTCTATAATGATAAATGTTAGTTTTGTGATCGATAATTGATAAGTTTGTGTACATTAAAAACTGACCGTTGGTTTACGGTTCAGATCGTGTTCGAGGGTGTGGTGGGCAACAACAACCTGGGAGACATTGCCATCGACGAGATCACTATTAAGCAGGGAGCCTGCCCCAGTGAGTACCTACTTTTTGATGTTTCTACATTTTCCTCTTGAGTACCCATTCAAGGTTCCCAGTTCAACGTGCGCGCTCTTCTACATAGACATACGTGCTTGCTGGGGGAGGAGGGTAGTTATGACCACAAAAGGCATTACGTTTCGAAACCATATTTTTTATTTGCCCCTCGGTCATCTGCAATAAATGGTGTGCATTGTATGGGTTTTGTATATAGTAACATGATCAATTGTCTAAATACTAAATGTAACAATGCATGGTTTCCAAATAAATTATTTACCATTCATCCTTTTTTCCAGGCGCACCTCAGGTGGCTGCGGCTAAGAGCGGAGACTGTACTTTTGAAGTAGACGAGTGTGGGTGGACGAACCCAGGTCCTCGTGACAGAATGGATGAGATGGACTGGGTGAGGACTGTAGCTGCCGATAGCCGCGTACCCATTCGAGACCACTCCATGGGTACACAGCAAGGTAGACATCCAATGTCTCTGTCTTCTCTTTCACTCACTGAATAAGAGCTTCACTGAGATTACATCAAATCAGGCTTATCAACATATGTAAGATAGTGCGACGGCAGAAATTTGTGATCGTCTCCATCAAACAGAAGGCTTACATGGCCCTGGGATAAACAAAGCTATCTGTTTAATAGATTCACATAAGAAAATACAACTTTTTAAAAGCTGACGTTTAAAAAACTATTTTAAACAAGGTTCACAAGGTTGAAAATTAGGAATGTTTTAAGTGGTACGCTGATACCGAAAAACTGTGTAATAGAATATCTGAACAGTTTCCTTTAATTAATCAATATCCTGAATTGTACACAAGTAAAGAACAGTTTGTTAGGCTATTGACATAACAATCGGGTAACGACTAGTGTGTAGGTTACCTTACTTACGTCTATAAAAATTAATATTTATTCATTTAGAGCAAACTGAAAATAAACGAAGTTGAGCAAACTGAAAATAAACGAAGTTTTATGTCTGCTAACGCGGTTCAATATCTGGTTACATTTGTGGCACCCGGCTCCTGGTCCATCCTACTAGTCATGGCAAGATGGTCCATTTGAAGAGCAGCCGGGTGTTATTTCTCGGTTGTGGGCTTCATGATCCACAGGCTTTACGAAATCCAAAATCATTTACTGTATCTATAGTTTAACAAGATTTGTGGCAAATAAAATGTACGTTTAACTATAATTTATGGAGCGATAAAGTTCATGGTTTTAATCATGAAGTTCTGCATGTTCCTAGTGACGGGTTATAAAGTTCTGTATTAGCAACATACATACAGTAGTGTTTTTATTATAAAAGTTTTAAAATCGTGAGCGGTAGTTTATGTTCTCATAGTTCATCCTGTGAGTGGCTGTTTTATTGTGCACACGCAGCTCATCCTGTGTAATGTAGTTTGTGCACCGACGGTTCATCGAGCTACTAGTCTGTCGTGCCCCGGAGCCCCTAGATTAAAAATACAGTATTTTATAATTAACAATGAAGTTATTGTGTCATGTCACTGATTACCTTCTCATTATATAGTAATTATTTTACATAATTTCACAAAGTGCGTATATATATATATATATATATATATATATATATATATATATATATATATATATATATATATATATATATATATATATGTGTGTGTGTGTGTGTGTGGGGGGTGGTGCATGCAAGGAATTCGCAAGAGTAGGCGAAATATACACAAACACTGATCTCTGGCCGAAGGAGACTCGAACCTACGAACGAGGTACGCAGTGCTTTACCATTCTCACCACACTGGACAATACCTTGGCGCCTAGCTCACGCTAGACGTTGATCCAAGGCAGCCAGCTTTCAGGGAGAAGGCTTACAGCTTTTCATCTCATCCCCTGCATGCATCGACCAACTAGAGATTTTAACAATGCAAGGAATTCACAAGAGCAGGCGAAATATACAAAAACACTGATCTCTGGCCGAAGGAGACTCGAACCTATGAACCTTGGAACAAGGTACGCAGTGCTTTACCATTCTCACCACACTAAACAATACCTTGGCGCCTAACTCACGCTAGACGTTGATGAGGGATGAAAAGCTGTAAGCCTTCTCCCTGAAAGCTGGCTGCCTTGGATCTGATAAAGAGTTTGCAGGTTCGAGTCCTGCTGTGGACGTAGAGACAGTGTTTGTAAATAATTTCGCCTGTTTGCGAATTGCTAAACATATATATACATGTAGTGCCGAATAGGTAAAAACTGGTCAATTAGCAAGAACTCATTTAAAATTAAGTCCTTTCTAAAATTTTCTCTTATACATTTAAAAATATATTTTTTTCTTTTATGTTAACGTGAAAATTAATAATCCTGTACCAAAAGCACCTTAGAAAACTTACCTAACCTTATTATAACACGCGCAATTTAATTTAGCCTAATCCAACTAAATATATTTTAGATAAGTTTACAATAATTTAATAATAAACAATGAAAAATATTTTATTAGGCTAAATTAAACTGCGCTTTTTATAATAAAGTTAGGTAAGTTTTCTAAGGTTCTTTTGTTAAAAAAATATTATTTTTTACATTAAAATATATAAAAAAAATATACCTTTGAACGTACAAGAGAAAATTTTAGAAAGGATTTAATTTTAAATGAGTTATTGCTAAATGACCAATTTTACCTATCCGGCATGACACAAACACACACACACACACACACATGAATGAGTGTGTGTGTGTGTGTGTGTGTGTGTGTGTGTTTAACGTCCTACAAAACTGAGCAATAAATTTAATTTATATATAAAATTTACCTTGCTGGCTGCGAGATTAGCTTGTCCGTCTCAATATTAGCGGACGGAGGATCAAGCCTCCACCACTTTTAACGCTGAATGACTCACACGGTTTTAGCGCTTCAAGTAAATATAAAAAGTAAATGAAACCCAAAAACCACAGTGAGGTCTAATGTGATTAAACCTGCTAGTCTTCTGAACCTTTCCTAACTTCATCTTGTCTATAACCTGAGGTTTGTCCGCTATATCGTAGCTTTAGAATTTAAAAATTAATTTTTTTTTTACTTTCACTAAATGCTAATCTTACTGTGATATTATTTTCTTTAACTTTTGCTAAGCCTACTCTTATTTAAGCCAATCTCTAATAAAATTTACGTTTCACATTATTCAGTCCCAAGCCTAGGCAAAGTTTTGTATTAAACGTTGCTTAATAAGGAAGAAAACTCTCCAACTTGACATGCAACAAATACCTGCGTGTTAAACAACCCGAGCATTATTTCCTTGTTGAAACAACTCCAATGAAATCAATCTGAACTTCACGAAAGTTGTTTCACTGATATTAAATATTAGTAAGAGAACTCAGGCTAACCTTACATATGTTGGGTAGGATTAAGTTATGTCAGGTCACATTAAATCACGTGAATATTTTTATCGATATATCAAATATTTTTTTTAAACATGTTAAGGAACTCAGTTTTTCCTTAACTAAAGCTGTCCTGAAAATGCGCGGTGGGTAGGACACTGTGGCACTGTTTTAGCTATAACAATGACATAATGACCTAAGCATGAAGAAGATACACCCATATTTTTCAATAAAATATTGTGCTTCACGCTTTATAATCACAAAATAACCTAACCTACCCACATCCTTTTATGAACTAGACACTGTAATGGCACGTCTTACTTTGCCTTACCCGTCTAACCTAAATCTTCTTTTTTTTCGCATTAATCCAATTTAAACCCCTTTCCACCAGAGCCTTGAGTTAACCTTTGAATATTTACTTCTTCCACCTCAACCTAGTGTCTCACCGCCATTCCTAGCTTAGTTTGATCTACATCCATTCTAACTAATAAGTGTTTCCCGGCGTATAGGGTCAGCTGCCCGCAGTGCCACTGAACAAAGCCACGGCAAGTGTTTATCTACTATTGTTGCTCGCCTTCACAGTGCTTGAGGCTTCTTTACCCTAGTTTACTTGCATCATGACCACGTAGTGAGTAACATGTCACGCTTTAGTTTACACTTTAGGTTACTAACATATTCGCTAATCTTACATACTTGTTCATATTCCTTTTACTAGCACTGTATTTTATTTATCGAACAATATATCTTGTATCTTTTATGCTTTGACAAGATTTCTCACGTATTTTTGTTTACACACAGGATTCCCTTGCCTGTTGTTCACATTCAGCAAACAACAGCATATTGTAGCTATTATTCTGTTTTACATCGTTGTCCTACTTGTATTTACAAGCTTTGTTATTAACACTCGTGAAAGCCGAAAACAGAAGAAAAAGCTATGCATGTTTAATAATAATAATAATAAAAATAATATTTAGGCGTTAGGAATGGCTGTGAACACAATGCTCAGTCATATTATCTAGTAGATTTACTAGGCATAAAGAAGAATATATACATATAAGAATTATCTTTCACTGTATACAGACTATTTAAATGCAGCCTTAATAGCATCTTTCAGTAGACAAGTATACATACAGCTGTTAACCATTATGTTCATTTTGGACATTATAAAACGCAATAGGCTAATGCCAAGTAGTGCCTTAATTCTAATTTTTCCCTAATAATGGTCCAGTGCATGAAACAAAAGCTAGTATTCAAGACCTGAATAGTTACGAACTCCACCTCAAAACTCATGGCAGATATACGCTGTTGCGTATCGATATATATTTATGTAGATAAAGATCTTTGCTCTGACTAACCAAAGATCAATTTAACTGATTAAATATCCAGGTGAGTAGGTTTTACTTTACCACTTTCTTTTCCCTGATTTAAATTTTATTAATGTTTTATAGCCTTTTTCATACTTGACTGAGTTAAATCTGGTTTTTAATCAATAACTCTCACTACATAATGCTTTTCGAAATTCACTGTTTGAAATACTTTTCTTTGTATGGCGACTAGTAAACACTCGTAAGATATATCTGACGTAGCAGACCCAGGCTACGGTCTTTGACTATTTGAAAAAGCTGCTACTGTTATAATTATGAAGTTAGTTTAATATCTTTATTATGCACCCCATACCCATCCTGTGGGCGGTAGTCAAAAGATTACAGAGGTACATAATGGGTCCAGGGACTGGGCCTCGAAGTTTTGATAGCTGAGCAAGTTACAAAGGTAATGAACTCACAATTTACAAAGGTAATGAAGTCACAATTTACAAAGGTAATAAATTCCAGGTAGGTCTGGTCACAATCATGACAAGTTACAAAGGTATTTACAGATTACAGAGGTACGTAATGGGCCCAGGGACTGGGTCCCCAAAGTTTTGATAGCTGAACTAGGTACAAAGGTAATCAACTCACAAATTACAAAGGTAATGAATCCTGTAAGAATGGTTACTTACGTTTATACATGGCTACAATCATGAACAAATTATAGAGTACTGAGTAATTCACACTTCCACACCCGGTCACAACTGTAATGAGTTAAATAATTATGAAGAGAAGTAAATTATCAAGAACTATATTTTATCCATTACAAAAGAAATGCAGAATTAAGATGTACTGTGTCATAATTAAATGATCTGCTTTGTTAGACTTGTTTTTATCATACAGGAATAAATGTTGTATTTTATAAATTATACTGTTATACCGTTCTGTGTATAATCTACTGTATGGTGGCTGACAATTCTAATTCTGTATACCTTAACAATCTTCTCTACTGTATAGCTTATTAATGCTCACTGCTATATAGCTTATCAGTCCTCACTACTGTACAGCTTATCAATCCTTACTACAGTATGGCTTATCAAATTGATTCATAATACAGGTATTATCCAGAGGACTATTGCACTTCCTCACTTCATAAAAGTTTGTAGTACGGAGAGCTGAAATAATAGTGAATATTTACAGGCATAGCCATAATTTACCTAAAGCACTCTTCCGTCATATAAGAGCCTTCTCTTGGTTTTCAGCCGAATTTAAGGTAACTGCATTTGTAAGTATGTAGCTTGTTCCTCAGACTATACAAAACTACATCGTGACCATGTAGTTACAGCAGCATCGGTAACGAAGTTCAGGTCAACACTGGCATCGCTACACCTGGCACCTGTGATACGCTCACGAATTTACATTATGTTCACACGTAGCTCTATTAATGACGCTAAAAGTGCCCGATATAAACTATTTTTTGTTGAACTTACGTAGTGATAGGAGAAAACTTACACTTGTTATAGTCAGTAATATATCAACGTGTACAAAAATGTGTAAACATGAAATATTCTTGCAATAATTTTATTAATATATATTTTTTATTTTTTTTATTATCACACTGGCCGATTCCCACCAAGGCAGGGTGGCCCGAAAAAGAAAAGCTTTCACCATCATTCACTCCATCACTGTCTTGCCAGAAGGGTACTTTACACTACAGTTTTTAAACTGCAACATTAACACCCCTCCTTCAGAGTGCAGGCACTGTACTTCCCATCTCCAGGACTCAAGTCCGGCCTGCCGGTTTCCCTGAATCCCTTCATAAATGTTACTTTGCTCACACTCCAACAGCACGTCAAGTATTAAAAACCATTTGTCTCTATTCACTCCAATCAAACACGCTCACGCATGCCTGCTGGAAGTCCAAGCCCCTCGCATACAAAACCTCCTTTACCCCCTCCCTCCAACCTTTCCTAGGCCGACCCCTACCCCGCCTTCCTTCCACTACAGACTGATACACTCTTGAAGTCACTCTGTTTCGCTCCATTCTCTCTACATGTCCGAACCACCTCAACAACCCTTCCTCAGCCCTCGGGACAACAGTTTTGGTAATCCCGCACCTCCTCCTAACTTCCAAACTACGAATTCTCTGCATTATATTCACACCACACATTGCCCTCAGACATGATATCTCCACTGCCTCCAGCCTTCTCCTCGCTGCAACATTCATCACCCATGCTTCACACCCATATAAGAGCGTTAGTAAAACTATACTCTCATACATTCCCCTCTTTGCCTCCAAGGACAAAGTTCTTTGTCTCCACAGACTCCTAAGTGCAACACTCACCCTTTTCCCCTCATCAATTCTATGATTCACCTCATCTTTAAATATATATATATATACATATACATATATATATATATATATATTATATATATATATATATATATATATATATATATATATATATATATATAAAAGAGGATAAATAAGTATACAAGATATGATGTAGGGCGAAATGACAGTAGTTTGTTGGATTATGTATTGGTAGATAAAAGACTGTTGAGTAGACTTCAGAATGTACATGTTTATAGAGGGGCCACAGATATATCAGATCACTTTCTAGTTGTAGCTACACTAAGAGTAAAAGGTAGATGGGATACAAGGAGAATAGAAGCATCAGGGAAGAGAGAGGTGAAGGTTTATAAACTAAAAGAGGAGGCAGTTAGGGTAAGATATAAACAGCTATTGGAGGATAGATGGGCTAATGAGAGCATAGGCAATGGGGTCGAAGAGGTATGGGGTAGGTTTAAAAATGTAGTGTTAGAGTGTTCAGCAGAAGTTTGTGGTTAGAGGAAAGTGGGTGCGGGAGGGAAGAGGAGCGATTGGTGGAATAATGATGTAAAGAGAGTAGTAAGGGAGAAAAAGTTAGCATATGAGAAGTTTTTACAAAGTAGAAGTGATGCAAGGAGGGAAGAGTATATGGAGAAAAAGAGAGAGGTTAAGAGAGTGGTGAAGCAATGTAAAAAGAGAACAAATGAGAGAGTGGGTGAGATGTTATCAACAAATTTTGTTGAAAATAAGAAAAAGTTTTGGAGTGAGATTAACAAGTTAAGAAAGCCTAGAGAACAAATAGATTTGTCAGTTAAAAATAGGAGAGGAGAGTTATTAAATGGAGAGTTAGAGGTATTGGGAAGATGGAGGGAATATTTTGAGGAATTGTTAAATGTTGATGAAGATAGGGAAGCTGTGATTTCGTGTATAGGGCAAGGAGGAACAACATCTTGTAGGAGTCAGGAAGAGCCAGTTGTGAGTGTGGGGGAAGTTCGTGAGGCAGTAGGTAAAATGAAAGGGGGAAAGGCAGCCGGGATTGATGGGATAAAGATAGAAATGTTAAAAGCAGGTGGGGATATAGTTTTGTAGTTGTTGGTGCAATTATTTAATAAATGTATGGAAGAGGGTAAGGTACCTAGGGATTGGCAGAGAGCATGCATAGTTCCTTTGTATAAAGGCAAAGGGGATAAAAGAGAGTGCAAAAATTATAGGGGGATAAGTCTGTTGAGTATACCTGGTAAAGTGTATGGTAGAGTTATTATTGAAAGAATTAAGAGTAAGACGGAGAATAGGATAGCAGATGAACAAGGAGGCTTTAGGAAAGGTAGGGGTGTGTGGACCAGGTGTTTTACAGTGAAACATATAAGTGAACAGTATTTAGATAAGGCTAAAGAGGTCTTTGTGGCATTTATGGATTTGGAAAAGGCATATGATAGGGTGGATAGGGGGGCAATGTGGCAGATGTTGCAGGTGTATGGTGTAGGAGGTAGGTTACTGAAAGCAGTGAAGAGTTTTTACGAGAATAGTGAGGCTCAAGTTAGAGTATGTAGGAAAGAGGGAAATTATTTCCCAGTAAAAGTAGGCCTTAGACAAGGATGTGTGATGTCACCGTGGTTGTTTAATATATTTATAGATGGGGTTGTAAGAGAAGTAAATGCGAGGGTCTTGGCAAGAGGCGTGGAGTTAAAAGATAAAGAATCACACACAAAGTGGGAGTTGTCACAGTTGCTCTTTGCTGATGACACTGTGCTCTTGGGAGATTCTGAAGAGAAGTTGCAGAGATTGGTGGATGAATTTGGTAGGGTGTGCAAAAGAAGAAAATTGAAAGTGAATACAGGAAAGAGTAAGGTTATGAGGATAACAAAAAGATTAGGTAATGAAAGATTGGATATCAGATTGGAGGGAGAGAGTATGGAGGAGGTGAATGTATTCAGATATTTGGGAGTGGACGTGTCAGCGGATGGGTCTATGAAAAATGAGGTGAATCATAGAATTGATGAGGGGAAAAGGGTGAGTGGTGCACTTAGGAGTCTGTGGAGACAAAGAACTTTGTCCTTGGAGGCAAAGAGTGGAATGTATGAGAGTATAGTTTTACCAACGCTCTTATATGGGTGTGAAGCATGGGTGATGAATGTTGCAGCGAGGAGAAGGCTGGAGGCAGTGGAGATGTCATATCTGAGAGCAATGTGTGGTGTGAATATAATGCAGAGAATTCGTAGTTTGGAAGTTAGGAGGAGGTGTGGGATTACCAAAACTGTTGTCCAGAGGGCTGAGGAAGGGTTGTTGAGGTGGTTCGGACATATGGAGAGAATGGAGCGAAACAGAATGACTTCAAGAGTGTATCAGTCTGTAGTGAAAGGAAGGCGGGGTAGGGGTCGGCCTAGGAAAGGTTGGAGGGAGGGGGTAAAGGAGGTTTTGTGTGCGAGGGGCTTGGACTTCCAGCAGGCATGCGTGAGCGTGTTTGATAGGAGTGAATGGAGACAAATGGTTTTTAATACTTGACGTGCTGTTGGAGTGTGAGCAAAGTAACATTTATGAAGGGGTTCAGGGAAACCGGCAGGCCGGACTTGAGTCCTGGAGATGGGAAGTACAGTGCCTGCGCTCTGAAGGGTGTTAATGTTGCAGTTTAAAAACTGTAGTGTAAAGCACCCTTCTGGCAAGACAGTGATGGAGTGAATGATGGTAAAAGTTTTTCTTTTTCGGGCCACCCTGCCTTGGTGGGAATCGGCCAGTGTGATAATAATATATATATATATATATATATATATATATATATATATATATAATATATATATATATATATATATATATATCTAATTCTTCGTACACAAAACGGCTACGAATTTTACGATTTGATTTTTAATATGAATTCGTAATATCAAGGCGACCTAGCAAATTTACAAGCTAATTCAAACTACCGTGTTACAGTGACTGTAAAAACTACTTGATCGGTTGTAAAAACTACTGGTTGCTACTGTAAAAGTGTATGTCTGCGATTACGTAGGTGCAGTTACTGAAGCAGAGCTCTTCTCTCCTGATGTTCCATCTTCGTATTTGGTTTATATGCTAATTCAAGTTTCCACTGATTTTTATCATATATTGCCTCCTCTTAGATATCATTACAGCAGTCCATTAATCATATTTAAGAACTACATGTGTGTGTAATAATAATATAATCAAATTAAGCGCTAAACCCCAAAGAGTCTTATATGTGTCTGTATAATTACCTATTTGTAACTTTGTACCCCGTTTAGTTACTTTAGCACTGACAGCCAATTTGAATTAATCTCTGAAACGCTATATTACCACTGCGTATTTCAATTTAAGCCTATACGAGGCTATGAGCAGCCTCATATAGCATTTCCCCATAATATATATAATATATATATATATATATATATATATATATATATATATATATATATATATATATATATATATATATATATATATATATATTGTACCGAATAGGGAAAACTGGTCATTTAGCAAGAACTCATTTAGAATTAAGCCCTTTCTAAAAAAATTCTCTTATACGTTTAAAGATATATTTTTTTTTAATTTATGTTCAAGTAAAAATTAATAATTTTTTACCAAAAGAACCTTAGAAAACTTACCTAACCTTATTATAACACGCGCAATTTAATTTAGCATAATCCAACTAAATATATTTTAGATAAGCTTACAATAATTTAATAATAAACAAACACAATGAAATATATTTTTTCGTTAGGTTCGGAAAGATTTTTGCGAAATTATTGCATACACAAATTTTCGTTTGCCTTATTCGGCAAGAAGAGCGTTGCTATTTTAGCCAAAAATAACAAGTTTTACCTATTCGGCACGACATATTTAAGTTATTTTATTTCCCTGTGTAGCATTGATTTTCTCATGATCTCATTATTTTTCGTCACTGATAATCCCCAGGTTCCTCTCTTTGTCTAACATATTTAACATATACAAATTGTATTCACCTTTTTAACTGTTTTCCCTTCTATTTTAACGGCATATCAATTTCCACATTCATATTTATATTAATTCTAGCATTTTTTCCCATGGCTTTCCAGCACCTCGTATATAAACTGTCATGCTTCATCTATTTCCTATTTTTTTAGGAAAATTAACTGCTTAATGTCACTGCCCTTTAATTGCAGAAAAGGGCATATATTTTATTTATATTTTTAAATACACAGAAAGCTGCAAACCCTTAGGGAAGCTGCACAGTTCCTGGGAAATAGAAGGTAATTGTGTTTGATCCAAAGAAGGGGAGGGTAGCGACAATTCCTGTCATCAAGAACCCTTCCATACCCCCGGCCGGGATTGAACCCGCGGTCATAGAGTCTCAAAACTGCCGTGAAGGGACTTGAGCTAGAGTTCGTCACAGCCACGCTAGCTGGAGATTCGTCTGTAAAAACTTGCATTTGTGGTCATAGTGGTGCCTGTGCTAACCTTCCTATGGTGTAGAAATATACCTAGTTGGATGAATCTTATTGTGGCTAGCTGGTCTAGTGGCTAACGCGACGGGCTGGAGTTTTGAGACTCTATGACCGCGGGTTCAATCCCGGCCGGGGGTATGGTTTGTTTGCAATCGTGTCATTACGATTTCTTGAGTCATCAAGAACCCTTCACTAGCATCCGGCATCCTCTTCCCCAAAAACAGGTCATTTCCTTCACACAGTTCTGAGTGGTACAACACAATCTATCTTGTTTGTATTTTAATTATTTTCAGATAGGTCATCTCGCTATATAAATTATCTAGATTATAACACTTCTTATGCTGCATTAGAAAAGTTTATTTTTGAGGATGCGTGTTCAAAATAAATGGCATGCTACCTCACTCCCTCGAGCTGCCGTTGTAATATCATGATACATAAGAAAATCGTAATGATTAGAATTTTAGCTGGCCATTTACTTTCCAATTAAGCCCCATAAATCATCGTGTTTGTACCATTATACTTTCAATTTCCTCATATGATGCTTTGTTTCTCTGTCCCGTTTAATTAGTCATTCATTTACTAGTTTATTTCGTCCCTCAATTAAATGACCAAAGTGTTCACTGCTTGTGTTACTAAAAGGTGAGTTATACACATTACATTAAATTTTGTATTTCTCCTCCCTTTTTTTATCTCTACTTCTTCTAAATAGCGAGTAATTTCCTGGAAACACTGATTTATTTATTACATTTTTCACCAATTTATTCTAGGATTATGGTAGGTCCCTATAAATTCCCTCTCATAATTATAGTCGTTTAGAGGATAACCAGTCTGTGTGTATACAAAATATTCATAGTTTAGGACATAATGATATAGTATATCGTTTTTTTATCCCTTTTTCTTATTATTCTGTTGTGTGTTAAGGTATCATTTTCCTACAGTTTACAAAAGACGCCTTCGTAACTTCAGTCTCTCACCATCATGACCTTCAATAATAGAGCTAATGATGTCTGTCATATTAAAGATTTACTTGGACACTGAACACAAGACATCGTCTGATAACACTTAGGCAAACTGAATTTGTGTCCCCTCGCCTTATCCATGCAAAGTTAGAATTATTCTTTGATCATTGTCACGCCTATTCTGCACTTACTAACCCATTACTGCACTGTAGTGAGCCACTATGCATAACATTTTCATTCATATTTTACAGGTCATATTAAAACCCCACTTTTTCCAGTACTGTATATAAAATTTATGTGAAAATTGTACGATGCTTTATTACATACCAGTTTATTACTCAGCAAGAGATCGCTTTTCGTTAATGGTGAAAATTACAAAAAATGTAATATAATTAAAAGAGTGTATAGCTAACAAAAATATGTTCTGTACCTTTTAAATTGTTAATATAAAAGCTATCTCTACTTTTAACTGTCTTATTTTAACTAATATATAATTTACATCTACAGGTTACTACATGACGATGCCGCGCGGCACTGTGCAGAGAGGCGGGGACCGAGCTTGGCTTCTCTCAAGAACCATAGAAGGTTCTGATCAACCCATGTGTATGATTTTCTGGTGAGTCCATCATTGGCTAATGGTTAGTCAATGGGGTTTAAAAGCCTATAGACTATTCAAAGCGTCACTGAGGTTGAATGTTACCTTATTACCATACTTTAATTCCTAAAACAGGGATTAAATTTTCAGTGTATATAAGAACATACACCTCTTAGTGTATATATCCTGGTGAGCCGAGGCACTACAGTTAATATAATGGCATTGTTACTGGCGAGTCATGGCGATACAACGAGCATACTGGCATTGTTACACCTACTGATATTGTTACTGGTGGGTCATGGCGCTACAACGAACATACTGGTATTGTTACACCTACACGGTGACCCGTGGTCTGATGGCAGAGCTCTCGCTTCACACGCTGAGGGTCCGGGTTCGATTCCTGGCAAGGGTGAAAACACTGGGTGTGTTTCCTTACGCCGGTTGTCCATGTTCACCCATCAGTAAAAATGGGTACCCGGATGTTAGTCAATTGGTGTGGGTCGCATCCTGGGGGAAAATTGACCTAAGTTGCCCAAAATGCTCTGCATAACCAACGTCTTTCTATATAGTAGTATGTTACTGATGTCAGCTAGGCCTGTTTCCTTGTACATGTACTTGTAGAAATAAAGATATTATCACTGGTACTGTTACTGGTGACTGAACGCCACAGTGAACCTACTGGTTCACCGGTTAACCCATGCACATTTCTCTCTTGCAGGCCAGGGCTGCAGTGACAGCTACTGCAATGCGTAAATGCTAGTTTGTAATCACCTCGGGAAACAACCATAAAAAATTTCTTCATATTAATACCCTTATATTAAACGAGTTTATCACCCTTACAGCTTTTCAAGTTAAATACTGATAATAGGGTTCACAAGGAACTAAATATTTGGCAACAGGTGCACAAAAATTCCATTAAACACATCACTCCCATAACAGAATGTCATTGCACCTCTGGCAAGAGAGCTATTGCAAAATAATGGCGAATGTGTTACGTTTTTGATATTACCCTACGTTGGGAGAGATGACTGGTATTCAAAAAGTATACACACACACACACACACATATATATATATATATATATATATATATATATATATATATATATATATATATATATATATATATATATATATATAATATATATATATAAATGCATCCACAAACTAATTTTAGACGAATAAAGAATATAAATACCCAAACCATTCTAATCATCTTCACTTAATATCCAAACTTGTTCGTTTATCATCCAAATGTTTCCAAGCATGAAGCTCCATCATCAGTGATAAAACAAGAACAATTGCCAAGAAGATCAGCGAGTCTATTTCAAACACAAAAATTCTCTATTTAAACAAAGTCATCAGATTTAAAATATAACAATGGTACTCATGTATACAATATACGTGTTTTTTCCATGTTATACTTCTGAGTACCACATTTTAATGACCTTGTGTGTAATGTTTCAAGAGCATCATGTAGTTATACTTACTATCATCTCTCACCACCCTTGCGCTTCACTGCATATTCCTCAGATCTGGAGACCTTCGCAACCATCAAGCAACTCACACTTTGCTTGAAAGGAAACTGCTTTTGATTTAGAGTAATCCTCTCACTCACCTGCGCTCTCGTTCCGAGTCATGTGCAAGTCTATCATTCCTTCCACAACATCATCTACTTTCTAACCCGGGTGATGCGTAGCTTACTAGTGAGATCGTTTAGCTTACAACTAAATGGTCTCGGTTTCGATTGCCGGGTTGGTGGAGCTTATAAGTAAGTTTCCTCACACCTCTGATGAACTAGCAGTAAAAAATAGATACCTATGTTAGTCCACTGTTTTGGCCAACGTTTAGGAAATCCTGGCTGTGAAATTGGAAGCTGCATAATGCAGTTTCCAATTTCACAGCCAGGATTTCAGTCTGGATGGGGAAGGGGGGGCCTCAAGCCAAGATCTCAATCTGAAGAAGCTTAAGCCAGAATTTTAGGCTGGGGGGAGAGGGGGGTATACCTGAAGTTGGCCGTACAGACGCCACATAAGCAATCTTCCTCTACTTACTACTGAACTCTCCCATTGGATATAATATTTACTAACGCCCCTCTTGACTACGTTACTGTAAACCTTTTTTACTGAAAGTACATCACGGTACCTTTACTTGGATATTGTGGTTAGAGACATGTGAGCAAACACTTTGGATATTTAATTAAGAATAGGTTTGGGTCCTGGGGCCTTGTTCACAACAAACATATCAGGTTTTCATATACCAGAGCAAGTTTTCTCCTCTTCCGTTGGATTCAGTGGCAAGAAACTTCTGGGGGCCCCAGTCACTGAAACTTTAATGACGTAACATACTGGTGTTACTATATGTGTCAACAAGGGTTGCATTTGTCCTCCTTACAGATGGTGTGAACTTATTTGAAAGACGTCATATTCTGTGGCTACCTCTTTTAATCTGGAACTAGTTAACTCCAACATTCTTTAACCTTGATCTTCGCTAGCTCAAATACCTATAACCACTAACTCAAGTACCTCTAACAAAAATTCTAGCATTTCTGAAGCACCTTTTCTAAAGTCTCTTTCACTGCGAGCACAAACATAAATGTACTTTTTAACTACCCATCAGTACCTCAGTTCACTGGTCTTGCACTTCACTACAGGTACTTTATGTATGAGCCCTTCATCGATCCGTCAGGGCCATCGCTGGGATCGCTGCTGGTTCACATGAGGTACGAGAACGCAGAGGGAGATATGGTGTTGCAGCCGGTGTGGTCGCTCAAAAACCACCAGGGACCCAACTGGATGTACGGCCAAGCTAAGCTACAGAACAACAAGGACTTTGTAGTAAGCATATTTTACTTCACCTTGGTTTCTTCCTATTTTTCTTTTCCTCTTTTCTTAAAGGTTTCTTTTTTACCGTTCTTTTTGGTAATTTTGATTACTCACACCTGTTTCTCTATGTTTTTAACTTCAGTTGGGTATGCTTCCGTACCAATATATTTTTTATATATTTTCGTTATAGTTCTCAGTCCCTTTGCTTTTTTTTCGTCTTTCTAGCATTGATCTTACTAGAGCAGGTACACTCAGGTCACAAGCACTGCACTATATATTCAGCTGTTGCTGTGCTAATTATACAGTTAAATATGCGTATTAATAGTGCGGTTACATTTTTCCAGCGTAGATGAGATCCGGGTCCAAATTATCTCTTCGATTTAGTAAGTATCTATTAAAATGTTGTGTAATGCAGGTGGCATTTGAAGGCGTGTGGGGCAGCAGCCGGGGCACTGGTTTCATTGCTCTCGATGACATCACCATCTTCAGCGGCGACTGTTCTAGTGAGTACATAAACTTGAAGTAGAAGGTTGGTATGTTAACTTACCCACCCTACAATACATGCTGAGGTGTTCTTGCTACTCTCAAGCTGTAATTGCGCGCTTATGGCACACTGTGTGTGTAGTTTTTCTCAACAGAAAAACTAGTTTTAGATTAATCAAATATTTCACCACTGTAAGAATTCGATCAAATTCTTCTAGTCGTGTGAGCTTAAGTTTCAATAAAGCAGCCTTAACCTCAGGTTTCAGTATTTACGTGGCAATAAATAATCAATGTTGTACTTTAGTCTTGCATCACTGAGTCGCCTCCTGCACTGCCGCAGCTAAACCACAGAAGGCGATAACAAGCGGCGGAGACTGTGACTTTCAGCGTGACGCCTGCCAGTGGAAAAACATGACCACCGATTCTGATTTCCGATGGACCACCGCCTCCATCTCCCGACGACCAGCCAACCTCCCCGACCATACCTTCGGGGGACCCAGTGAGTACCCTCGCAATTTGCAACCTTTATTTTAACTTATACTAGCGTGTTTTTTTTTTTTTTTTAATTACGATCCACATGCCCTTGTGAGCTTCCAGTACAAAAATCAAACGATTCTGACTTACTACCCAAGTTGTTAATTTGATCCAGCTTCCTTAATTAAAATAACTATAAATTAACGAAAATAATTAGTAAAACATTAACATCGCCAAAAGTCATGACGAGAGTTTTTCACCATTTGACAATCTTATAACTTTGCACAATCTGATCTCAAATACCTGCTTACAAGAGTTTAATAACACTGAAGTTTCACTGTTGTAACACTGGCAAATTTCTAACTTTGAGGAATGTTCATGTTTTCTTCGTTTATATTCTCCGATAATTTCAAGACTAGCAGTTTCATGAGCCTATATTTAACATCATGACTGATATATAAAAAACAAATGACAAAAATTAATTTAGTCTGTCATATCTGCTTCATAAATTATAACGCTATTTTCTGCAACTTAACACAAATAAACTGAAAGAAAATTCTTCTGATTTAGCTAAAATAATCTATGGATGCCTAGAGTATTAATTTCACACACACACACACACACAAACACACACACACACACACACACACACACACACACACACACACACACACACACACACACACACACACACACACGTAGGTGATTAAACAATATTTAGTTCTCTGTAATTTCATCCTCTCTCGTTTGATATGGTGTGATGGTACCATCTTGACAAACGCTACAGTAATTCCAGAGTCCCGCATCTCCTTTCAGTTGGGTATGCCTACTTTGATGTTTTCAACCAAAACGCTCGGCCGCAGAGTCTAACGTTGCTCTCCCCGCCCATGGACAAATCCAAAGACAACTCGCCTATTTGCTTCACCTTCTGGTACGCTTACTTCGGTGCGAGCGAGAGTACCAAGCTAAAGGTCACCAGAGAACTTTACAATAAGGATGCCACTGAGGGCAACAGCACCGGCAGTCCTGTTGAGGTGAGATGCTCTAGTTCCTCTGGGTAAAGAGTGACCTGTGTAGACAATTGTATTAGGTCCAGTTACATAAGGTCATATTATGTCGCTTCAGTGAAGCTTCTAGGTTTTCGTGGTACTGAAGATGCATGTTGCACAACAAAGCCTTCACTGGGAAAATATTACAGGGAAATCATGTTTTAATAAATCTATATACACAGCGAAACGTTATCACAATAAAAGTTTGCCCTGTGTATTTTCTTTTCTATTGTCAGTAGTAGGTCATTTAGACCATGTGTTGGTGAGTGAAGAATAGAAGGATTGAAGACTTTTGTAGACGGGTTGCAAAATTTTGATAGTTGTTGTTGTGCGTTAGAATTATCGAAAGCTGTATGTTACAGAGGAGTTGCAGGATGTGTTAATGGTTGTAATGGTCTAGAAGAGTTGAATGATGTGTATTGGTGGTTGCTGTAGGGCTAGAATGGTTGAATACCGTCATTCTTGAAGAGGGGTAAAAACAGTTGTAAGACTCTATATCACTGGTACTGGAACTACAAGAACGAATGTGTATGTTTATAAAGAGGCATCTCATTCTGATCACCCGAGAGTGAACACTGTAGACGTTTTCTCTTCATTGTTTTACAACTGGTATATATATATATATATATATATATATATATATATATATATATATATATATATATATATATATATATATATATATATATATGTCGTGCCGAATAGGCAGAACTTGCTATCTTGGCTTAAATAGCAACGCTCATCTTGCCATATAGGACAAATGAAAATTTGTGTATGCAATAATTTCGCCAAAATCATTCTGAACCTAACGAAAAAAATACATTTGATTGTGTTTGTTTAGTATTAAATTACTGTAAACGTATTTAAAATATATTTAGTTGGGTTAGGCAAAAATAAATTGTTCTTGTTATAATAAGGTTAGGTAAGTTTTCTAAGATACTTTTGGTGCAAAATTAAAATTTTTTACATGAACATTAATGAAAAATATATATCTTTAAACGTATAAGAGAAAATTACAGAAAGGACTTAATTTTAAATGAGTTCTTGCTAATTGACCAGTTTGACATATTCGGCACGACATATATATATATATATATATATATATATATATATATATATATATATATATATATACATACACCTTTGACCTTTGAAGAATTTCGAGAGTATATCTGCTCTCTGAGCCCGGCCATGGGCCAGGCTCGTCTGGTGCTCGCCTAGTCAACCAGGCTGTTGCTGCTGGAGGCCCGCTGCCCCACATATCCATCACAGCCTGGTTGATCTGGCACCTGGTGAAGATACTTGTCTAGTTTCCTCTTTAAGGTTTCTACACTTGCTCCCACCGTGTTTCTGATATCTTCTGGTAAGATGTTGAATAGTCTGGGACCCCGGATGTTGTACAGTGTTCCCTTATTGTCCCCACCGCACCCCTGCTCCTCACTAGGTTTATTTTACACTTCCTCCCATATCTCTCATTCCAGTATGTTATGACAGTGTACAGATTTGGGACCAAGCCCTCGAGTATTTTCCAGGTATATATTATCATGTATCTCTCTCTCCTCCGCTCCAATGAGGACATGTTCAAGACTTGAAGGTGTTCCCAGTAGTTTAGGTGTTTTACTGGCTCAAGGTGAGCCGTAAACGATCTCTGCATTTGTTCCAGCTCCGATATTTCTCCTGCTGTGAACGGGGCCGTCAGCACTCAGCAATATTCAAAGTGAGGGAGCACTAGCGATTTAAAGTGTCACCATTGGCATTATTTCCCTTGTTTTGAAGGTTCTCAATACCCACCCCGTCATCTTCCTGGCTATCATGATCTTTGTCTTGTAATGATCTTTAAAAGAAAGGTGTTCCTTACGTTCTATTCGGTGACCCTCTGAGTTTTTTATATAGTGTTCCTTTTGAGTTCTTCATTCTTTCCATACTTAAGCAGCTGGAACTTATCACCAATGAACGTCATGTTTTCCACTGCCCACTGGAAACCCTGCTTATGTCTTCCTGTACTTTTTCAGTGTCCTCTACCGTAGTGACTTTCAAGCTTATTTTAGTGTCATCTGCAAATGATGATACAAAAGTGTGCCGGGTGTTTTTATCGATGTCTGCTATGAGGATGAGGAACAGCAGAGGTACTTTTTGTGTTGTGTGTGTTAGGAACCCGAAAATTCATCTGCCTACCTTTCCCGTAATGCCCATGGCCCTCATTTTGTGCGCTATCACTCCATGATCGCATTTGTCAAACGGCTTTGCAAAATCTGTGTAAATCACATCTGCGTTTTGGTCTTTTTCCAATGCCTCCGTAATTCTGCCATAATGGTTCAGCAGCTGTGACAGGTACGGACGTCCTGCTCTAAAACCATGCTGGTTCGGGTTATGCTGGTCCATGAAATTTGTAATCTGCCGTCTCATCACTCTTTCGAATATTTTTATGATGTGAGAAGTTAGGGTTACAGGTCTGTAATTTTAACTAGTACTCTACTACCTCCCGTATGCAAAGGAGCTATATCTGCACTCTTTAAGGCCTCCGGTATTTCACCTAGATCTAAGCTCTTTCTCCAAAGAATGATGAGTGCTCGTGCTAGTGGTACTTTATACTTCTTTATGAATAGAGCATTCCATGAATCTGGTCCAATGCTGAGCGAGTGGGCATATTGTCCATTTCTGTTTCGAAATCTATAGGATTTGTACTAATGTGAAAAATATTTCTGCATTTTCTACCTTGCTGTCATTTAGTGGGTTGCTGAACACCGACTCATACTGTTCTTTTAGGGTTTCACTCATTTCCTGTTCATCGTCAGTATACGAGTCTCCTCTCAGTAGTGGTCCAATTCTACAGGTAGTTCTGAGCTTGGATTTTGCATAAGAGTAGAAATATTTTGGGTTTCTTGCAATATCCTGTATGGCCCTTTCTCTTTGTACTTCTTCTGTTAGGCCTGGGATCCTAAGTTTATGCTCTAGTTCAATGATCTCTTGTCTGAGCCTATCTTTCCTCAGCTGAAACACATTTGTGCTTTTAAGCAGTTCAGTAACCCGTTTTCTTCTTCTGTACCATCTCCTACGCTCTCTATCTCTCTATATCTGATCTTCCTCTGGGTTTCCTCAATGGTACATGTTTCATACATACTTTGTATGCTTCTCTATTCAGCTTCTCTAGGCACAGGTGGGGATTTAGGGTGCTCATGTCTGATTCCCAGGATATGTCTGATAGCTCTTGGTTTATTTCTTCCCAGTCAATCCTATGGTTAAAATTAAACTTACTGAACATCCCGCCTCTAACATTAGTGGCACAGTTCTCTAACCTTGAATTAATACTCATTTGAACTTGTATGATGTGATCAGAGTATATTGTTTTCGTAACTGTTATATCTCTGATTAGTTCCGTCTCTTGATTAGTTCATTGTTGTTTGTGAATATCAAATCCAGGGTATTTTCATTTCTAGTGGGATCAGTTATCTGTTGGTTTAATGAATACTTTTCACTAAGTTTCATTAGTTTCCTGGTATGTGCCTGTTGGGCCAGGGTGCTTCCCGGAGATATTTCTAATGTAACATTACGTTGCACCATCTTCCATTTTACATGAGGGTGATTAAAATCTTCAAGGAGTAAAATATTTGGTGTGGGATTTTCTAGCCTATCCACATAGCTATCTATATTCCTTAGCTGATCTATGCATTCCTCAGTAGTTGCTGATGGTGGTTTGTATACTAGGATAATTACCAAATTCCTATTTTCAATTTTAATGCCTAGGATTTCTACTATATCATTCGTAGAGTTCAGCACTTCTGTGCAACAAAAAGTATCCTTTACATAGATTCTACTCCTCCTTGTGACTTATTAATTGTATCACATCTATATATGATGGCCTGGTGGCTAAGCTCCCGCTTCACACACGGAGGGCCCGGGTTCAATTCCCGGCTGGTGGAAACATTTCGACGCGTTTCCTTACACCTGCTGTCCTGTTCACCTAGCAGCAAATAGGTACCTGGGTGTTAGTCGACTGGTGTGGGTCGCATCCTGGGGACAAAATTGAGGACCCCAATGGAAATAAGTTACAGTCCTCGATGACGCACAGACTTTCTTGGGTTATCCTGGGTGGCTAACCCTCCGGGGTTAAAAATCCGAACGAAATCTTATCTTGTAGTTTTCTATCTTTATCTTTCCGTCCAAAACATCCTTTGTATGTGTTTCTGTAAATCCTCCAAACATGGCATTCGCTTCTGTTAGGAGCCCACTGACATAACTTTGTCATTTTTATTTGATTTCAAACTCTGAATATTTGCAAATATGAAGCATGAATTACCATTTGGGATGTTTTGTCTTGCTTTGTGCTTCGTTAGTACCACTGGTGATGCACTACCTGGTATGGCCCCTGGTGTATATACCTCTTTCTCCAGTACTGGCTTTGCATTTGGCTGTTTATTCGGCCCTGTTGGGCTGATGCTTAGTTTGATGTGTCTCATTTTGCTGCCCATCTGCCCTCTCTGTACCATTCCCCCTTTTTGTCTCTTTGGTTCGATCGCTTCTCTTTATGTCTAAAAAAGATTGCTGTCCATTTTCCCTTTCTCTGCTGTCTCTGTAGCGCCGCATTCCTTTTATATGGTGGTCTGGGCTGCTCAGGTCATAACATTCCCTGGACTGTGTTGAAGCTTTACACATTTCTGGATGGAAGTACCTGCTGCAGTCTTTGTTGAAACGAGACTTTCCCTTCCTCAACATGTTGGAACATTTTCTGGTGTGTTTATTCCAGCAAGCTCTTCCATACAGGCACATAACTTTTGCATAGTATCTGCAAATGTTTTGAGTGCCTATATTTACTGCTTTTGTGTCTTTCCCAAGATCTGTCACCTGACCTGAGTTCTCTTGTTCTTCATCTAGGCGTATTTCTTCCTTTTTTTAATCGTTTTCATCTGTTCCTGCTCTAGCTTTCTCCTACTCCCTTTCCCTTTCCGCTATGTTATGTACCCACGTTTCGTTCTTTTCCGACTTGC